AAAAAAAAAAAAAAAAAAAATGACGTGCTGGACATTTTGACTTACAGTACATTTATGGGGCTTCTCTCCAGTATGACGGCGCATGTGTACAACCAACATATATTGAGCCTTAAAGGGCTTCTTCTCTCTAGTGCAGCCATCCCAGTAACAAGTGAAGTCCTTGCGATCTTTTTTGATGTGATCACTGTTGACATGCTTGACAAGATCATCTTGTGATTCACACTGCATTTGACATTCTTTCCAGTGACATGTCATATCATGCTCTTGATCTTGCTCAGCTTGATTCTCCTCACCTTCATTATCTGAACCTTCCTGCTGTAGATGGAGGGAACATTTTTTTTGATAAACGTGATTAGTTTCCTGGTTTGGGTAAACTCTAGACCCTTCATCAGCCTCCTTTCAGGACAATGATTGTCTTGGTTTAGTCAAAGGTTCAGCTGGTGACAATAATGAGACAATGCAAAGGCTGACCATTGATATTTACAGACTGTGAAAGGCTAATTTACACATGCCTGTCAGGTGAGCCATGGTTAATCCAGTCAACATCTCAGTTTACAGTGACTCACAATATTTTTGATATTTGTACTCTTTCTTTGCAGAGTGCAAGTGTATTTGAATGCACTAGCTATTAACATTTCACAATGTGGTTTTGTTAAAGATGCTATCTCTTGTAAACTTATACCTTGTTATATACATGATAATTCTCCCACCCAAAGGATTTAATAAATAAGAGGCTAATATTGTCAGTTATCTAAAGAAAATACTGCCACAGGTCAGGCCTGTAAACAAAATTAAGGTAAAATATCAATAAACACAGAAACTAAATTTTCTGCATGAGTCATAAATTTCAGTTATTACAAACAATAATTGATGAATGGAACTGCAGACTTCAGGTATGTTTTGTGTTTATTAATTTGTCCTAATCCCTGCAGAAAGGCTTTTTTATCTTTCTGTTTTCAATTTTCTGCCAGTGGGTGGACATCATCATTGTGGAGTGAAGTTTTACATTTGACTCAAGATTATGTGTAACAGTAATGTTAATATTTTATTATCTTTCAAAACTTTCAAAATTGGCAAACCCACATTAAAAAAGTAAATCTTCCATCTAATCTTCTTTTCATTGCCTAACAGCACATATTAATCACCTACGAACAATAGACAGGCTAGTTAATCCGATCAGTTAAAGGTTATCAATGTTATTTGCCAGCTGAGAGAGGGATAACAGTGTAGACATAACACTGCGTTTCCCCTTGCAGATCAACTACAGAAACTTAAAGCAACACCTGACTTCTTGCACATATTTCTTTTCCCCTACTTGTATGTATTGAAAAGCTATCATACAGATTGAGAAGTAATCACTACCCCTCGGAAAGCCAGAATTGACAGCTAGTAGAGGGTGTGATGTAACACTGCACTCTATTCAGTCCAGTGGCCTGTGTCGGAAAAAGCAATTGATGACGTGAACTTTCCATTTTGTTTTGCTTCGTATTGTGATAGATTATCAGTAATTAATCCATTGTGAAAAGACATGGCAATTTTTCTCTTCTTTTTTTTTTCTTAGGGATTGCAAAAGCTGTTTGTTTGCTTTATGAGGCTAAAAAGAGTGACTGACAGCATTATTGTGTATCATTTTGTAAAACATCATCAAACAGACCACCCCATCTAAAGAATTATGTTTTTACACTGATCATGAAGAGCCATGGCTCTATTAATGCATTAGATTGGAACAGATATGTAAACCTTATTTCAAAAGTGATATGTAAACAGCCATATACTGCGCTACGGCTTTTTGGAGCTCAGAACTAGAGACCTCAAAAGGATCATTAAACACTAGATATGAATATTATTTATAATAAGCTTATTCCCATTGCATGTGATTTACAGTCTGGTTAGCACAGTAGGATATGCCAAGGTGATTGAAGTCCAGCCAAAAATACTTCAAGAAGTGGTTCACATATAACCACAAGTATTCTAACAATGTCATCAATCTTTTAATTCTATATAAATGACTGTGAATGACTATACAAAATGTTTACTTATGTCTGGCTTGGAGAAGGATAAAAATTTCAAAAATCTTTTAGTAATAAATGAAAGGTTTCTGTTCTGTACTTGTAAGTACATATCTTTCAAACCAGGGTTTAAAACACTTCAAGTACTTAAGAACCATGCTGATTCCTTTTCAATCTCTTTCCCACACCCATAGGGCAGAACATTTTTCAAATTCTACAACAATTATTACTAACCTGCCTAAAAATCCCAGTACAATCCACTTAAATAAACAGACCATTGTAATTCTATTGTTTAAAATTCTAAAAGGAGTATCTATAGTATAAATTTTCAAGGGTTTTTTTCAGTGCAAAACAACCAACACATGTTATTCATATTAAATCAATACAGCTTCAATATAGGGAAGTATTCAAAACCAAATTAAATGGCAATTAACACTGGCAAAGTTATGTCATCTTTTTCACCTGCTAGGTTGACATAAGTTACCAGTAAAATGGAAAGAAAAAATAATATTGGCTAATCAAGTAGAGCAAATAGGAAAAAAGTAAATAGTGAATAAGACATGGTAAATAACTCTAGAATTATTCTTTATAACACAAGAAGGTTGGTGTAACAGTGAATTTTCAGCTTGACCCACTCTCTTCTGCCTGGAAATAATACAATATTGTTCCCACACAGAATTCCCTTGCCTATAGTATTTGCAGTATAGATGCCTATCCATACTTTTCAAAGATATAGGCTTGCAGATCACCATCCTCATTGTGTGATTATAATTATGCATGATAGTAGTTGGGTTTTCTGTAGGGAGAGGGAACAGGTTCTGACTGTATAGAGTTCAAATTAATATCATTGCACAGTATGTTGATGCATTATTATTCCAGGTATACTATTAATTTGACAGTGATCTAAATGCAAAACAAAACATGCTACCTTTATTTCTGAAGTTCCAGGTGAGGTTGTGGAGTCAAGGGGGCAAATGTCCATTCTTTCCTCTTTGCAGTTGGCAGTTTCTGACTCTTTAATGCTTGACACTTTAGGCGATTCAGCACAACTCATGCTCTCTGGTGCTTCTTCCTTTGTCCCATCAGCACCAGTCGTCGAACTTGGAACTGCATCTCTCATGGAAGCTGGTGTTGGTAATCGGGGAGGGGCAATGGGCGGAGGGGTAATGAACACATTTCTGACAGTGGGATAGCGAGATGCCTGGCGTGAACCAGGAGAGGTGCAAAATCCAATGGGGCTCAAATGTCCAAAGGACCCTGCTGAAGACACTCTGGTTGGTCCAAGGTACCCTGACAAGGAATCTGGTGAACCCCTTATCAGTGCGTTCAAGTCAATCGACTCAACAGATGATGGGGTATTAGAAAGCGCACGCTTTCGACTCATTCTTGCTGACAGTCTTGGGCTTGGAAAGTTGGAATGTGGAAGATCTATAACTGTTGACCTCAGTGATGTTGCGGTTGATGGTGGTTCTCCATAATCAGATCCTGCATTTCTGTGCAGAGATGCCAAGTAGTTTGATGGTATGAGAGGTTTAACAAAGGGCTGATATCCAGGTGGCCATTCTGCTTTGGGACGGGCAATTTCTGAGTCTGTGTGCCTTCTCTCGCGAGAAATGGGCATTGGAGGGACCACTCCAGGTATTGGTGGTGGACGTGAATAAAATCCGTCCGGGTGGTGATATTGATAGTGAGGGTATGGAGAATGGGAATGAGATACTGGGGATAAATGTGGTGGTAGAACAGGGCTTTGAGGATTATGCCAATGTGGTGTCCGACCAGGATAATAGTGGTTGGTGTGATGCTGGGCTGGCATGGAAGGTGGTGGAATGTGAGGAGGTGGGTAGTGAAGTTCATAAGGGTAGTATTCAGGATATGGTGATGAACGATAGGAGTGGTTTGTACCCCATGATGGTCCATGTCTATGGCTGTATGCATAACCATGTGGCCGTCTGCTCTCTAAAGAAGCCGTCCTATTATTCGATGGCTCCCTGTGGCTCACATCAAAGTTTGTTTGGGTTTCCCGATCATGAGCGCGATTCACGGAATTTATCTCCGGTTTGGACTCATCCATGCCTCTTCACTAACAGTCCAAACAGCTTCCTGAAGATACGCTGCTTTTACAACACAAAAAGTTCTTTGACCTTGGTCGATTTAATCGGGTTTTGTTTAGGACGCGACTGTGGTAGTTGCGTTTCCGCTGTATGTCCTGCTATAGAATGGGTCACGATGCGGATCACGGCAATCTGCCCAAAGATGAACTTTTTATCACGTAGCAAAACGCATGAAATCCAGTTCGTATTATCCCCAAGTGTTTCAATGGGTTTCTTCCGTGAATACACTGTACCACAGCTCTCCACAACCTTGGCAGTTGTACAACCACATCCAATCAAGTCCTACATAGTAATTGTCGATTGTAGAGTTCAAACATCCTGAAACATACATACACAGAGGATGGTGTTGGTGTTCATAAAGTTCCTACTTACATGTTTAATAAGAGTGGGAGCGAAATCTAACTAAACGGCCACAGCAACGAAACAGCGCCAGCACTCACCTCGAAATACAGACTGCTGTTATGAATACTTGGCGGGCAAATGAATAACAACACAGTGTGGAGCGGAGATCGCACTGAAAAAATAATTTTGTGATTCTTTTAGCAGAGACAGTGAAATCGGAACAGTGACCGCTCTTTGCGCGCGGCAAAATTTTAAGGGTCACGAAAAATCAAGACGGAATATAAATTCCCTAAATGCATTCCCTTTGATTTGGAAACACGAGTATCACTTTTCCTCAACCACAGGAGACCGTCGTCATAGAGAAATCGGGTTTTCTTCGCAGTATTTGACAGATGTTTGTATCATCTTACTGGTTTGGCTAATACAAAGAGCATTCAAACAGTACTTGGCCAATCGTTTCGGCGGAATTCCGCAACACGAAACTCCTTCGGGTCAACAATGATGTCGGAGAGCTGTTTGATTGGCGTCAATAACGCCCTCAAGTTTACAGATAAGAACGAAATCAACAAGATGTTTATTACGGTAAACGCGACTGCCTCACGGGCTGCCATAGAGTGGACATTTGTGTCGTTTACGCTCGGAAGAGGCGGAATTTCGTGTCGTAATGGTGTTTTTGTTTGATGATCGCGTCGCTCTTGGTTTGATACTGCGTGGGAATTCGGGATGAAATGTTTAGTATCACTTGAAAAGGTATCGAAAATATTAGCTGTAGAGTTAAGTTACGAACGTCACAATCTGGCGTGTTGTTGGTTTAAAATAGCTCTGCTCAGATGGGTTTTTTGAGTGAGTGAAACCCAAATACTCTCAAGATTAAAGATTGTTGACTCTGACATTCCAAAGCAACAAGACTGTACGTATTTCCGTTCTTGTACGTGGCAGATTTAAATTTACGCCTGAGTTAGAAAAACTATTTTGGCGAACTTAGGAAACTTATTTAGTTCTCGTTGAGTTCAAGGTTTTCCCGTGAGATCATTTTATCGCTCTTAACAGCAGCACATTGTACTTTCATTGTGGTTTTAGTTCTTTTGCCCGGATCAAATATCAAATAGTACCCCGCGAATCTATATCACCCGGCCGCGAGAGAGGAAGAAATTGAGCTCTTCCTGTTGTAGTGGGATTAATTTGATGACGTCCCTCGTTTCTGATGTTAAACAGAGAAAAAAGTCGCCAAGTTCTTCAACTGAAAGTCGTGAACAATTTGAAATCAAATGAAGGCGGTAACAAATAATCTGTAGAAATTAGAAAATCTCAGGTAGAGTGAATTCGATACTTGTCTAGAAAGGACCAAAGTCACCAAACTATAACTAAAATAAAACCCAAAATACAAAGATAACAAAGCCTAAAACGGGAAGTGATTGCGATTTTCGCCATGTAATTGTTTGCTTTGATTCTTTTGTTAGCTTCAATCAGCATCAGTCCTCAGTGGTGACGGGATGGGTGTTGGCAGGCGCGATATCGTGCAAATTAGACCCGGGGGGTACTCCGAGAAAAATTGGGTCAGGGTGTGTGGCCCAAAACCCTTATACTTAGTTCCCTAGTTCAAACCGATGTTAACGGCATCGCGAAGGGCTTTGGCTGATGGTCTTATCGATAATGATGAAAAAGTAGCTTCTTCTAAAAAACATATCCAATTCAAGACTAGAGTGCAAAAACCATGCCCTATTTATGATCAAAATGGCTAAAGTCGATACCCTATTTTTGTCTATTGGGACCGCACATACCTATATAGCTCATATAAGGGAGTACCCCCGGAAATTAGATTCCAACAGTGAGAAAACGTGTTTTGTTTTTGTTTTGTTTTTTGCAAACAAGCTATTCCGTTAAATAAAGGCAGCTTGATAGTTATAAAACGTGAGCTTTTCTGATCCCCGAAGAGTCACAATCTCCTCCAAAATTTCGTGACTTTGATCTAATCAGTGATCTCTAGGCTGTTCACAGCCCTCTATTTTCTCGTATTTTTATTCGATCGTTGAACGCGCGGATAGAATATGCGAGATAACTGTGAAGTCTTTATTTAGGCCGGAAGGTTTTATTCAAAGTCAAATGTGAAACCTTGGAAAGCACCACTTCATCTTAAATACATGTAGATCACGGACTGGTTTTCCGCTTTAAAAAACAAAATCAAAAAGCTGTAAGTCATTAGCCTGACTTTGAGAGTCGACCGGCTTTCAGGCGGAAGCGGACTAGCAGGTAACGATGGATGGAGATGGGACAAAACAATTTCACTGTATGCAACTTTCCATATATTCATTATAAACCAAAGGAAAGTATAACTTTGCTAACTTTTCTGAGAAAGAGTGATCAAAATCTAATTCTGGTCAATTCTCTCCAGTAATTGCATTTAGCAATTCGAAAGTATTGCTGCATGTTCAAATCTTCAAACCAGCTCTAAATAAAATCAAGAATTTGTGGGATGACCTCATGACCCGGCTACAAAAGGTTGCTGTTTAGTGGCAGCTTTATTGTGTTTTTGGTCTCGTGGTTTTCTACTGAACTGATGGTCCGCTCTTCCCCTGTAATGTTCCTGTAGTTTACACAATTATCTAATTTTTACACGTATTTCAATGTTCCCGCATTCCGCTCGGGATTAGGCCCGGTTCTCGTGTAAATGGATTAAATGGGCAAATCAACTTCCGTTGTCTCGATTACCAGCCGCTGTTCGTAGGACGGACTCGGGGGAAGGGTGGGGTGGGAGGGGGAGGAGGAGGACTCGAGTGACCGTTGGAAATCGAGCCTATTATA